TTTTAGGTACCTTGATTCAAACATTGTTGTGGTATAATGCACCATTTGGGCTAACTTGAGGATACAAACAGATAAACACAATGAGAGCTTTAGTAGTATACAGATAAACAATTATGTTTCAGGATTATTATTTTTTCTTCTTCTGATTTATCCAATAATTGAAGTTCTCTGAGCAGATTACAAAGTACTGTTTTAGTGATGAATGGATGAGTTGGTGGGTGGATATTACCTGGCCCTTTACAAACTGCTTGAGGATATAGCTGTGCCGAAAGAAACATACAATCTAAGTTTTAATGGGTTGCTTTGAAGGCAGAGGTTTCAGTTCCATAGGCTTGGACACAATCTTAACTCTTAATAGATTAATGACTGACTTTAGAGCATTTAATTTTAAGCAGGGCATGAATGAGAAGTAACCAAAAGCTTCCTTTGGGATAGGGGGAGCTCTTTAATGGAAGAGTGGAATAACTGTACAATTATTGGGGTACATCTAGCAGTTCCTGAGTGATTTCTGCTTGCACAGTGGGAGTTTGCCTTCCAGCCTTCCCTAGCCCCATCCTGGCATGTCCCAAATCCACTCAGAGGAAATATTCTTCCAGTCCCTCAGAGCAGAAAGGCTAAGGAAAGCAGAAGAGTCCTTCTACCGTTGCAGATAGAAATGATTTGATGCAGTTTAATTGTTACAAAACATTCATTGAACACATCCACAGAAAACATTGCAATACATCAGAGTGATTTTTGGCAGATGGCTAAACCTGCTGGCCTAGCCATCTGTCAGAATTTGCCTCTTCCCCAACCTCAACCTTGTCTACATTGAGGATAGTGACTAATAGTTGTTTTCTCACTGGCTGTTGACAAAGAGAGGGAGGGAGGGAGGGAGGAAGGACGGCAGGCTGGCAGGCTGGCAGGCTGTGGGTATCCATTAGTCCTTGTCCTCAACACCCCTTGTACGCTATAAATAAGGAGGGCAGCATGTTGGGCTAGGGAAGGTTTGAGATTGTCAGTGGTGGCAGCAAAGTTTATGCCAGTATAGTCACCAAACTCAGGTTAAGGTTTTCAATAGAATATTCTGGGGGTTGGCATAGCTGATTGCAGTACTGAAAAAAATGTTTAGACATTACAACACTGGTGCAGTTCCCACTTTTACTGATGTTTTCCTCTGAACTGCCTTGAATTCTGATGAAGGAAGGCCACAAGGGGTAGCAAGGGGAGCACATGACGGTGCGATGCAGGCTCCATCCATTTAAATACATGCGTCAGGACATTACTCACATGCCCCAACGAGAAGCTTGTGCTAGCGTATGTGGCTATGCAGCAGCCACAGGCAATGAAACAAGATGGCATCAATGAGCCCTAAAAATATAAATGAAAGATTAGAGGTAGGGAAAGGGGTAGGAATTAGTTCAACTGGCCAGATGGATTAAGAACATTGCATAATTTGTTATCTGGAAGAAACTATAAAAAGGCAATTAATTGAAATGTGGGAGCATCACTGTCATGTGCTGTTTATCAATTAAGATTTTATCCTATTGACTTTATTTTGGTCCCATGGGCAACAACATTATTTTCAGTTCTAAGAATGCTAACAGAAATAAGCATCTTCAAAAGGATAAGATTGAAGAGAAAAGCAAACTAAGAAGTATTGAAGAAAAAGTACTAAGAAGAGGCAGGATAACTGTTATGATTATGTTATGTTATATGTTATGACAACTTATATCGGAACAGTCAAAATGTGTCACTGAGTGAGTTGAATCTCAGTGTTTCTAATCATTCTAGCCACTTCCATATTAGATGGGGAGGGTGAAGAACTAGTTGCACTGGAGGAGAAATGTTTTTAGTGGCTAAGAGAATATTAGATCAAAAAAGCTTTGTTCAAAGACTGGTATGGATTTAGTAGCAAAAAATTGTTTGCTGGCAGCACATACAATAATGGCCATTTATGAGCAATTTCTGCTAGCTAATACTAAGTAAGAGGAATTAAAACATCTCTTGGAATGGTAACTGAACTGAAACAGAGAGAAAGATTTTCTAAGAAAAGGACATTAAAGAACAGACAGGCCACCCACAGCAATGTACAGGAGGGCCAACCGTCAGCTTCGATACTGGGCAGGAGGGGGGTTGCTGAGACACAAACTGTTCCAGGTAATAGAAATTCACGTATCTTGCAATTGCATTAAGTTATACTGCTTATGGCTGATAACAATTTTAATGCAAATCGATGCATTTTAATGCATTCACTCATTCCTCATCTGTTGAGATGTCAAGTGGACTTTGGTGAACTAAAGGAAATTAATTGGCTTTCCAGTTCTGCTGCTGACAAAGGAGTTATCATAGCTTTTGTGTGTGTACAGGTGTGATTTCACTCCTGGCGACTGCCTGGACAAGTCCCTGCAGTTTTCTTGGCAAGTTTTTTCAGAAGTGGTTTGCCCTTGCCTTCTTCTTCCTAGGGCTGAGAGAGCGGCACTGGCCCAAGCTCAGCCAGATGGCTTCGTGCCTCAAGCAGGAACTAGAACTCTGGGTCTCCTGTTTTCTAGCCTGGTGCCTTAACCACAACACCAAACTGGCTTTCATATCATCACATTTATGCATACATTATTGGATTGTGCTCATGAGAAGTTTTCTGGAGTCATTCCAAATCATACTTGTCCAGGTCTTCAAGGACACCAGTGTGCTGTCCAGGTCTTCAAGGACACCTACTCATGTAGGAAGTCAGTCTGGCAAGGAAACCATGCTAGCTCAGCAGAAAATAAATCACCTGACATTCCAAGGACCTTGTTAGTAGTGGTAATACAAACTAAACTTAAAGAAAAGAGAATAGAAAGGAGTAAAAGGGCATAAAAAAGAAAAAAAGAAAGAGAAAAGTAAGATTATAATAAAGAAAGAAAAATTATATAAAGAAGTAACTTCCAATCTTTATCTCAAGTATAAACAGATGTAGTGACTCTTCACCCCCTCTAAGATGACAAACATTTATCTCTTCATCCCATATCCCTTCTCCTATCTATAAAACATCATCTGTTCAGTCCTGGTGTCAGCAGAAAGTCCATAAAGGGTTGCCAGAAGTAACATTTCTTGTTTTAACCTTGATCAAATAAGCCAACTTTATTTTCCTTCCTTTTAGTTCTAACCGTCTTAAACCTTAGTTCATTCAAATATTGTTGCAGTATTTTATTTCTCTTCATTTCCCCATCGCACAGAGTTCTTTGAGGCTTTAATAAGCCTCTTTTGTAAATCCAACAGGAAAAAATTATCCAAGTCACTCTCTTGGTTTGTCATTTGTATCTCCCTTTTAAATTTTAAAACCTCAGCCAGTTTCTTTTGTAGATCCAGTGAAACATCTTTTCTAAGTCATTCGCCTGGCCTGTCAGTTGTAAAACCACTTTTGATACCATCTCTGTTTTGTCAGATAAAATTTATTCTACATCTGTCATTTCTTCAATAATATCTTTTAGAGATAGTTTATCGATAGAAGCAGACATCATTACTGACATTGTTGATATTGTGGCTACTATTTTCTGATTCTGTTTTTCAAAAGCCTCCTTCAATATTTTCATTGTTAGAACATTTTGCAACATTTTACAGGCTTATAAGTCTTTCCTCTACCTAAAATCGTCAGTCCCCTCTAGTGGCCATTTTTTAAAATCATGAAATTGCTAATTTTTGTTTTGTCTTTAAAAACCGAAATAGAATCTATTTCCCACAAGAACCTGTTTGTTCTTTATAATTAATTCCAAAATCTTATTGTAAAAGTTTCAGTGTTTCAGTTTTATCTGGGCCCTTAGTCTGTTTATAACTTTCTACGATCAAAATCTTATTTAGCTTTTCGCAGTTTATTTCAGATTCTTTACATTCTTAAGCTTATGATTAAAATGTTCTTTCATTCAGGATTGAAGGCAGAGTCACCCGGCGTTTTCAAACTTGTCATTCTGAAGGTCTCTAATAATTTAGAAGTAGTTAATAGGCAATTTCCAAAAGTGATTAGAAAGTGAGGTTTGCGAACTTTGGGCCCTTTAAAAGTCTCCACCATGGTTGTGAACAAGATGGCTAATCCCGTCATCTCCTGGTGCTCAGACCCTCAATAGACTTTTGCTAACCCCAGGACTGAAATGACAGTGCTTTATGGATTTGTTTATAGATAAGAGAAGGGATATGGGAAGAAGAGATCATTTGTTTATATTTTAAGAGGAGGTTGATAAGTTACTAAAATTGTGATGAAGGTTGGAAGTCACTTTTTAAATATTTCTTTTCTTTTTCTTTATTATATTCTTACTTTTCTTTCTTTTCTATTTTTCTATTTTTTCCGCACCTTCTACTCTTTCTTTCTATTCTTTCATCTTTTTTTAGTTTGTATTAGTTTTTACTATTGTAATTATAATCTTTAACAAAATTACTATAAAAAAGAGTGTGAAGCTTATGCAGGAGACAAGAGCATCATGGCTCACTTTGGAACAGACAACAGATCTTGTTTACTAGGATTAATACAATTGGCTGTACTTAAACTGTAATTCTGTAGAATATTATCTAATACTGATCAAGTAAGTGGCAAGCACTTATCAATCAACTTTTTGTTCTTATTGGCCAGAGCAGTGGAAAGATTATGTTCTTATGGTGCAATTAGATAGAACCTTGCCTGCACATTTTTTGAAAGAGGTCTGTATGTCCCTCCTCCACACCACCCTTAAATAGAGCATAATATTCCAATCAAGTGGTCTGGAATATCCACAAGACTGTGGGGGCCCCCCCACCAGCTATGCCCCCATTGTTCCAGTCCCCGCATGTGGTTACAACTATGAATCAGGTTTTTAGCTGCACAAGCCTCAAGACTTAGCTGAAAGCCGCAGATGATTAACCAAGAGAAATATGTGAGGAAGTGTTATGTTTAAAACATCAAAAATGTTCCAGCTAGGGAACAGTACAATAGTCCCTGCTCCCCCTCCCATCCCTTCACAACAGAGATCCTTTCTGAGGGAAAATCATTTTCTATCAATGCTTGGAAGCTACATGGTCAATAATATACAAATAAAGCCTGTGACAATAATCAGATATTGAGGAAGGAGGGCTGGAAAGGGCAATGATAAAAATGAAATGCAGGCCTTGGAAAAGGGATTAATTGGTGTTTAGGTGGGGGGGGCTACCTTTTGACCATCCTAAAGTGGATTCATTTATGGAAGCAGAATGGAATGCTTTGATACAGTGTAAGTGTTAAAGAAAAGGAATAACAAAACATTTGCAACTGTATTCCCAAGGCATTCCTTTTTTTCCTCAGTCATTTCTGAAGTGACTAACAGAAAAACTTGTCAAATTATTTTGTGCGAGAAAAGAATTTGCCTTCTTCTGTATGACTTTTCTGGGTGTTCTTATGAGATCCTTGGCCAAATTCACCTTCCTTTCTGTTTTAAGTGGATTGCAGCTTAGCAAAAATTGCTTGAGCTGGATATCCTTCAAGGCTGAGCAAACAGATCTCTTTTAACTATTTCCCCAGCCCTTTCCTTGCCATTATGAATGATGTCTCTAATAGTTGGTTAGTCTAGTCTAGTCTGTTCTGGTCTAGTCTAAATTTATTTATATGGCTTACTGACCCTTATTTTATATAATTAGGAAAGACGTTTTGTTCATATCTTACATTTTGCTCCAGACTGGCACTATGTCCTGGCAAAGTTCCTGAGAACAAAATAAGGAATTGGGCAATCTAGAGCTCAGCTGAAACCATGATGCGGCTGCCTTTTCAGTCTGCTGAAGATCTCTAAGTCAGGCCTGCCTATGCTGTGTACTGCATAAAAGATAAAAGACCCTTTCTCATTTGCCTCTAACTGCAACACAAACATGCCCAGTTAAGTGGGGGGGGTGTGTTCTGCTATGACCTCATGACAGTGCCTTTGACTTATTCCCAGCAAACTGCTGAGGCAGCTTAAAGTTATCTTAGCTGCTCTTCTCCAGACAGTTTTCGCCATGGTCATGCTGTATAGCAGGCTTCATTCACAGTGCAGTTGCTGAATGTAGCTTGGGTCTGCCCAGCTCCTGTTGGTCACTTTAGGCTGCCCTCGGCATGGCCCCTCCCCTCTGGTCTCTGCCCTCCATAGGCAGCTTGGCTTGGGTTGAAGCAGAGCATCCAGCTTCCACAGAAGCATCTGCCCACGTAATGCCCAACTGGTGCTTTCTATCGCACTTGCCAGGTCTTATGCAGGCTCTTTATTTAACATGGACTAAGTTTAAAACAGGCCTAGCATTCTTTTGGAAGAGCATTAATCCTGTCCTGTATAGAAAGTTGATTTAAACCAGGAAAGAGAACTCAGTTCTGCCAGTTGTGAATTGCTAATTCTGTTGTTATTGGGTATATTATGGTCTTCCAGTGCTTTTCCAAACTAGGGATTTCATTTGGTCATATTTTTTTCTCTTTTCTCTAGTTTTATTATTTTTCAAGACTTGTGCATGTGTGGGACCACTTTTTGAACAATATCATGCACCTGCGGTTTGTAAAGCACAACATGGTTACTTGGGTTTCCTGGGGTGGGGGGGTGGGGAGTTGCCATTTTCCCTGCTCCATTATGGTTTTGATAGCGTTAAGTGCCATGGTGTGATGACTGTGATTATTTGGGTGGGCCAATCACAAGTGTGTGTGTGTTCTCCATGGGTGTCCTGTGGCTAGCTATAGCCACAGTTGGATTTCTTAGGCACTTGTTGCCAGCACTGACATTTTCTTACAGTGCCTGGTGACCTGTTAGCTGGGCTATTTCTGAACACAGGTTTAGCATCATTCCATAAGAGTGCTAGACCCATGTTCAGAAATACCCTGAAATCACGGGGGGTGGAAGACTAGCACAGAGGAGGGGCTACAAGAAGCATCAAGAGAGCAACCATCTACTTCAAACCACACACCCGTTTAATGGCTGCCACCGTTGAGTGTGGGCATCTTGACAAGTGGCCAAACCTATCACTACAAGCACCAGCCAGCTGTTGTCTAAGTCCATGTTGTGGCTAGTTATTGTTTTTCCTATTGCCAGGTGATGCTTGGTGGGAGGGGAAATGAAGCCAGGGGAATCATTAATCACTTTCCTTATCTTGGCCCACTTAAATGAATAAGGACAACACTTTTTACCAGTCTCATTACTGCAACAGAATACAGATTGGCAATGGGGACAGCACTTTAGCATGAACATCTGCCTTGCTAGACCTTCTGAAAGACAAAGTGAGATCAAACTTTCCCTCAAGAAAAGCTGCTTAAAAGTTCTGTTCAAGCAGGTGACAGTGAAAACAAAATTGTCCAGCTGTAGACTACGAAGAGTGGTTATTTCAAATCAATATGTGAACTTCTTCTTTTGTTCAGCACCAAGCTATGCACACACACACACCCCTGTCTCCTTCCCTGTTACCCCAGGCGCTCATTGAACCAAGGCCATTCAAGATCAGGGCCAATCTGAGTTGACATACAGGCTGCCTTGCTTTCAATATGCATCCCATTTGGAAGTTCTTCGCTAGGCAGCCTTCTATGACCCAGGCCCATCCAGGTATCTAGTCAAAGCTTGGACTTGCCTCTGGAAGATACCAGCTTGGGGAAAGCTTCCCCATGTCCATTTCTCTTCCCTTGATTAATGAAATTAACCCAAGACTGACATTCATAGTGTTGGAGAAGCCAATATTTGCCATTGCGTCAGCATCTGAAAAAAGAGAGGATCCTGCAGCCTTCCTGTTTTCATGACACACATCTACAAAGGGGACCATTCTTTTGTATATTTGCCTCTGAGAGCAAATGGGGGGGAAATGATTTTTCATGGGAGGAAGGGCCAGAGGGAAAGAAGACTGAAAAGAGAAAGAAAGTGGTTCCTAGATGGATTGTTCCAGATGCCTCATTAAGGCTTGGTGTAGTCAAGCCCTGGTACACAGGGTATGCTTGGGTTTATGAGCACGTTTAACGCTGTCAGAAGTTATTACCCAGTAGGTGGGACATGTCAACTGTTCTACCTTTCCCAGAGAGATATCAGGGACTGATCATCAGAGAAAAGACGATCACAGTCATGTGAAACCTTTAGCCACACCAACAGAACTTGGCCTATTCAAAGGGCACAAGGGGCATTATTCAGTCAGAGCAATCTGTCTAAATTTAGCTGGGAAGAGGAAGTGTGTATGACTGCCCAGCGCTCCCTGGAATGCAACAGTCTGATGGAATCCTTTGCAGATATCGCTCAGGCATGGAAGTTACATACAAAGAAGGAAGAGAAGTGCCATATTGTTGATTCCTGTGCATGGTGTAACCCATATTGCTAGGGAATTCTGGGGGTTGCAATTGGTCCCAAGAATTCTGAAGAGTGCCAGAGATCAGAAGGCTGGCAAGCACAGAGGCTAACTTGTCCTTTCTGTTAAACTGTCTATGTGTTGGATTTAAATACTGCCCACCCGTCTGCATGAATACAGCATTACAAGGAGAGAGTGAAACACATTTTCAAAAAGCAGAACTTACTTACGGTGCTTTCACTTGCAGTCCTTTTCATTCAGAGTTCTCACCAAAGCGTTCACCCCATCAGAAAAAGAGGTTTTTAAAAAATGCTATTGTTTTGTGGATTTTAAAAGGTGAGGGTTATCCATTGTCTCCCTGACCACACTTTCCTTGCACTGTGGGTAAGAAGCCCACCCCCACCGCTTCTTTCTTTCTACCTACCTGCAGTCCAAAGGCTTATCTTTCCATGGGCCTTGGATCCAGTTTTCGCTGGCCGTGAGTTGGGAGCAGGCAGAAATCCTGGATGGAGGAAAGACAGCCCTACCCCCAGTCATATACATCTTTTCCTTCATGGCAACATGTGGGAAGCGCAAAATGTCAACGTTCAAACCAAAAACCTGATGCACCCACTCAGGAAAAGACAAGAGAAGTGGCTTCCCTCGAGGAAGTCCCAGCCCACCAAAGCAAACATGGCCATCATATGTATCAAGGACAATTGAGTAACCTTGTGGTTTCCTCCCCCGGGGTGTGGGCGTTGCATGCTTTCTCTCTCTCTCTCTCATGTACAAGACTCAGTCTGCAGATAAGCAGCCCGCCTCTGGGTTCTGCAGTTCCTTCCACACTTCCCCTGAAGGATAGCATGATGGAAGCTGCAACAGGGTACCCCTCTGTTTTTGTTGTGGATCCAACACTAAGGGATGCTCCCTTTGTGCCACCTACACGGAGGAGTCGGAAGAAATGGCAAGCTGGCCAGCTGTTCCTGGGATTCCTGGTGCTGCTGATGCTGAGCGGCTTAGCCATCCAAGCCTATCTCCTGATTTGCTTTCGCAAGGAACTGGATACAGCAATGGCACAGGTCATAGAGAGTGATGCAGTGCGGTGCGAGTGAGGTTCTAGTGGGACAGAAAGGAGAGGCCAGGGAGTTGGAGTAGGACCCTAACCAAAGAATGTGCTGGACCACGTGCCCTTGGGGATGAGGAGTGCTTGGTTTCTCTTCAGTTGAAACCAGGATTGCTATGCTATCATCTGTTTGTGGGTCTGGCTGCATTTTGCTTCACGTATTAGGTGTGTGCTCTTGTATGTGTGCAGGGATGTGTGTGGGTTGTTGGAGAAAAGAGAATGATAGTTTCTTAAGTATGGTAAATTCAGAGGCTTGTATTTTATGTATGTATGATTAATTTAGTCAAAGTAGCTTTCAACATGCAAAAATTATTGTGGAGAGAGAGAGAGAGAGAGAAAGTCTTCCAGCAAGCCAATTGAACAGCAGGATTTTGATTTCAAAGGTGATTTAAAACAATAGAGCTTTTAAAAGGCTATTCAATTAATCTGGTCTAAGCACGAGACCAATAATTAGTATATTGCACTGCCATTTTTTAGTTTCTTTTAATGTTTCTTGTATGAGATGGAAATCAAAATGTCATTATACAGCCACCTTGCTTCTTTTCAGGGAATTGGACAGAGAGGCCAGCTGAAAACATCTTCTATTTGGAATCCTCCTATATTTTTCTACTGATTCCTCCTTTGTCCTATAAGAAAATCTGCTAAGGAGAAAATGACAGAGGCTGGGCTTCACACATTGCTCTAAGCCACGATGCAGTGTCTCGCCTGCTTTTTCGTTAGCATGTTCTGTAAACCAGCCATTGTATGCTTCGTAAATCATTGCAGATAGCTAAACAAAATGTGTGAACCAAGTCCACTAAGGTTTATTCATAAACCATGGCTGATCGTGACTTAGCCTGATGTGTGATTCTAACCACTGTAGTTCTAGCAGGCAGTTGACGTCTTATCCTAGAGCCCTCCAGGATAGTAAATTTTCGCTCATTTATGGATTACTAACTGCTGGTAAAGGTGCAAAAGTAGGGAAAAACGGTATCCCTCTGTCCTGGCTTGGGGTTAAAACCTTATGTTGAAAGAGACCCAAACTTCAGATGTGTTACAAGCCACTTAATCTAGGAATGGTTTCCATGTTGAATTGAATTCTGCATTATTTTTCAAATATGAGGTTATTTTTGACATCTCCCACAACTTAATTTGTCATTCTTCTATGGAAGGGATTATATGTAATTTCCAATGAGAAGCACAACTTTCTTTTTTTACAGTTAGCCCCTGACTGTCCTCAATTATAGAGATATACAATAAAAACCAAATTAATCATACATACATAAAAGCATAAATGCATACCTAAACTAATGATAACAACAATTATTATTATTATTATTATTATTACTATTATTCATGACTTTCTGTGATTTAAGATTTATTTCCACACATATATAGACTGATCAGGATATACAGCATTAGGAGGTTGCTGTACCACATTTCTATTGTTCATATCACATTTCTAGTGGAACCACTGTAGCATAGGTTTTCATGCAAAAAGGAGAGTTCTCTTCCTCTGTTTTTGCTGGTTTCCGTTCAGACTGACTTTCTGCTCTTGCAAATGCAACTAGATTTGGGGGCAGGGATAGGCAAGTTCTAAGAAATATAAGCTATTTTCACCCATCATTTATGTCTTCTCGGATTTCCCTTGCTGAGGCATTTGCAGAATGTTACCAGCCACTGTCTATCCTTTCTTAAGAGGCTTCAGCACAGGGCACTCTCAGTGATAGCTCAACTCTTCAAAATGAAGAATGACTGAGTTTTAAGGACTCCTGTGAGGGTATCTTGACCAGTCCAGATCAATGGATGATCTCTGTGCATTGAAACAGCTGATGCAAAATCAAGGTGTGTGGATGAGCACACAGATGGTGACCCAGAACAAGTGAAATAATTGCATTTTCAGAGTGTTCCCTGACCTCCTGGAAGCATGCAAAATGGAAATGCAACCTATGAATTCAGTAAGGACAGATCTGAGTTTCTGATCTGATCTAATCTAATGCTTCTAATCCAAAGAACAATTCTTCAGTACTTATTGGGTGTTTAATAGTAATTTGCCAACCATCTGCCTTAGGTATTTCTGGGTGCCACTTCCAAATGTCTTCAGTACTTATTGGGTGTTTAATAGTAATTTGCCAACCATCTGCCTTAGGTATTTCTGGGTGCCACTTCCAAATGTCTTCAGTACTTATTGGGTGTTTAATAGTAATTTGCCAACCATCTGCCTTAGGTATTTCTGGGTGCCACTTCCAAATGAAAAGGCCATATGAACCATTTGGTATTTCTTTCAACATGGAAAGCATCTGTCAAATGAAAGCCACTAATAAATTGTTTCTGTGATTACTTTTGCTGTATAATAGTGACCTGGAGAGTTCTAAGTTGCCATCATGGCTTGATGCAGTAGACCAGGTGGA